CGAGCGCCGGGGCTGCTGGTTCTCCCGTCCTAGGGGAGAGCGAGCAACCCGCCTTTCCGTGCGTGATTTACGCCCGTCTGTAGTGGCGTCGGGAGATCCGTGCAATTCGGAAGTGAGTGCACGTCTGGTATAAATGTGTGTGTGTATGTATATAGACACATGTATATTTCTCGTGAGATTAAATTAATTCGATCCATAAGAGGAGGAAGGTTCTTCCCCAGGTTCTGCTATGCAGAGGGCATGAGTGGAGGGGAAGGAAAGTCTTAAGTTTTGATTTTTTTTTTTCTCCTTTGGTGGGTTTACTTTGTAACAACCCCCCTCCCCCCACAAAAAAAAAGAAGCTGCTGCTGTTTTCAGCAAACTATTTGTGTGTCAGTTTGCCCCACCCCGATGGTAAAGTCCCTTTTGCCCTAATCCATAGTCTGATCACACACTCGGCCCTTAATGGGGGTTTCAAAGCACTTTGAAAGAAAAGGAGGTGGTTGGTGTGTGCCGTGGGGAGCGGGGTGGGGGTGCCTTGCACAGGCTCCAGACACAAAACAGAAATCCACGGGCAGAGGACTTCTCCCCCTTGGGCTCGCCTTCTCCCAGCCAGCGAGACACAGGGTTTTTCCACAGCACGCGAGAAGCCCCTTGCGTTTTAAACTCCCCCAGAAATGTGCCGAACGCGAAACCCGGCCCCCTTGCTGGCCCTTTTGCCAATCCCAGCTAGGAAAAGTTAGCAATCATGGCACTTGAGCTCAGCGAGAGTGGACTTTGGCTTTTGCCCCCTTGGGCTCGCCTTCTCCCAGCCAGCGAGACACAGGGTTTTTCCACAGCACGCGAGAAGCCCCTTGCGTTTTAAACTCCCCCAGAAATGTGCCGAACGCGAAACCCGGCCCCCTTGCTGGCCCTTTTGCCAATCCCAGCTAGGAAAAGTTAGCAATCATGGCACTTGAGCTCAGCGAGAGTGGACTTTGGCTTTTGGAAGTGGGGAATGGCGTTATCACACACATTGCACACACAAAAAGGCAAATGCTGCTTCTCTGCTCTGGGTGGATGGAAAGGGGAGAAGTGCTAGATCGGAAAAGGGAGAGACGTGCTTTCCCGTCAGAGTTTTCAGGCGAATGTATGTTTGCAAATAAACGTGCTGGAGGTGTGCATCTTATCCTCTTAGCGGATCTGTCAAGGGAAGAAAAAGGATCGTCCAGCTCGGACCGGTGTCCCGCTGAAAATGCCTTCCTGGTCCCTTCGGGCTGGGGCAGAGGGGGACGGACTGAAGTTCAGGCGATTTGCAGAATATGCGTAAAATAAGAGGAGCTTTTTCCAGCGGCTGGCTTTGTGGAGCTGAATGGGTGCTTATGGCAAGGCGAGAGGGGGTAATCTGCCTTTTGCCCAACTGTCCCGGAGGTGTTGTCTCAACCCGTCTGCAGGGCGCCTCGCATTACCCGGGAGGGGAGGGCTTCTTTAGCATCTCCCGGGGGGGGCAGGGGGGAAGAGTTAAAAGGAAACGTGGGTTTGACTTTCCCGATAAGGCGGCTGCAGCATCCCCCTCCCACCTCCCAGCCCAGAGGATGTCTCCCGGTTATC